CATTGTGAGCGGTGGCTGACAAGTGAGCTGGTTCAGGGAAAGTTTAAAAGGCCGTTTCTCAAAGTTATCTTTCTTCATGCCCCAGAGAATTATGCCACCATCAATAGCCGAGCAAGTCACTGAGTGAATCAAACCAAGTTAATTATTGATCATGCCACTTAAACAAAACTTTGAAACTTTGTGCATAAAAAAGAAAGCAGCATATAATCTCTGAGATTTAAAAACATGAGGACATTGTAAAGTACATTCATTCAGGGTTGTTTGCCTTAAATTTCTGCTCTGGGCAAAATGTAAAGTCAGAGATCTTATCTTTTTATAATGGAATCACAGCTCTCCTTGCCTTTGGCAACCAATGCTGTTCCTTAGGGTGCTGCCCTCTGCCAACACCCCCCCAACACTTCAGGGATGGCATTTTCTGACCTGTAGCAGGTAATTCGGGACTCCTGCATACCATGTTGTACTTCATGTCAGCCTAACTGGAAAGTGAATTCTAAAATGACTCCTAGAAAAGGGAATGATGGGGAATGATCTAGATAGGATTCTGACGGCTTTTGTTCTGTGATCATTAAAATATCACATACACATCTTAAACTTCATGCTGGCCCCTACTTGCCTTTTTAAATAGTGCTGCTGCCTCACAGACCCTATCATCCTGATTTTATAGTTTATACCTGAAGGGGTGTTGACCTATTTATTTATGCAAGTATTTCTTTAAGATCCTTCAAAATTTCATCTAAATTCTATGGCTAGGTGATAAAAGGAAGCACTGGGTAGATAAAGTGAGTGAATTCAGCCTCATTCTAGCCACACAATTTTCATCTCCTGCCTCTGTACCCTTGCTGGTGCAGAAAAAAAAAAAGATCCAAGTAACAGGATGAATATGAGGAAGCCAAGTAAAGGCTGGGGGTCTATAAACCTCCCTCCTTAACCAGACACCATGCTTAAAATTTATGTGGTGATCACAGATGGTTTTCTACTTTCCACACTGGCTTTTCTTCTATTACTATGTCTTCACTGCTCAAAATCGTTGGTCTATTTTCCTTCTGAATCCATCCTTCCGAGTCAGTCATCCTAGTACTGGTGTGTCGGTACAAACCACAACTGCCCTCCTTTTCTTTTTGTAAATATGATTGATTTATTTTTGTTTTTGTTTGTGTGTGTGTGTGTGTGTGTGTGTGTGTGTGTGTGTGTGTGTGTGTGCGCGCGGCCTGCTTTTCCCTATGTACACTATGTGAGTGCAGTTGCCTATGGCAGCCAGAAGAGGGTGTCAGGCCACCTGGAGCTGGAGTTACAGGGGGATGTTGATGTCTGTGGCAGCAATATTGAGACAGAACCACATGAGAGTCTGACCTTCAACACTGGGACTGTTTATTAGCACACAAAACAAAAGCCAGCCTCTCTTGCCCAGAAATTGAGGCGCCTTCCAGGAGTAAAAGCTGGTTGTGACCCTATATAGGGACAGGTTGAGGGGTTTAAGAGTCAGGAAATTGTTGCAGCCTTAAGGATCTACTTGTCTCACCCACAGCCTATTTTGGTAATCATTTGCCTAAAACAGGACAGACTATCCTTTCTGGGAGGAAGGATCACAGTTGAGCAAGGTCAAAGCCATCTGTAATCTTGAATGAATCCTGTTTTACAATTGGAGCACTCTTAGTTGTGAGTCATGAGATGTGTGTTCTAGAAACATCTCCTATATTCAGGATCTCCCACTGCCCAAGAGTGACCACGCTTTATTGGTGAGGAGTCCCTGGCCAGGCAGGAATGGAGAAACTGAATTTTTGCCACAGTTTCCTACTTTTTAATTGAACATTTGCCTGCCTTGTATACAGGAGAAACGTCTAGCGTGGATGCAAAGAGTTCTGTGGGTCTGCGGGCTCATGAATCATGTATTCATAGTTAAGCAAGTGTTTCCATCTAGTCATGGTGTCCCACAGTTCTAATCCCAGTACTTGGCAGTCTAAGGCTGGGGGCTGCTCTGAACCTAAAGGGGGCCTTATTGAATTCTTAGCTGCCCTCGGCTACACTGTTGGATTATCTCTCTCAAATTAAAGAAAAAAAATTTCTCTCAACAATTTTGTAGAGCTAAATGTTCACTCACAGTAGGTAAACTTCATATAACCTATAATGACCTGAATGAATGTTCTGAAAAACAGAGATTTGCTATTTACTAGTAAATCAATTGTAGAAAATAATCTGGAAGACAGTGACAATGTAAAAATTTTTTAGATATAAGCATGTGCAAAAAGAATGTCAGTCATTTGCTGGAATAAAAATGTTCATGAGAAAAGTTGAGGAAAGGACCAGCAGGAAATAATCTAATTTGAAAGGCTTTCCAGTGTCTAAAATGAAGGGGATTCTATGGTAGGAATGCAGATGTAGTAAGCACACGTCTGTCCAGTGTTGTGCTTGGTCGACTTTGGACAGCTGGTATTGCAGATGGTAGGACTTTCAGAAGTTTGGTTATGTGTTCATATCAGAGTAAGAGAGATTCCATGCTCTGTGATAATTTGTGTCATCTCCAGTCTGAGTATATCCATTCTCTGGGTCTCACTGAATACAACTACAGAGCTTTGTGTCTTGATACTTTAATTAGCTGCAAATGTATAATTTCAAGATGTTTTAAAAATCACTCCTTCAGCCACCATCTCCGTATGGGCTTTTCATTTTTTAAGTCAGGTGTTCAAACCTTTTTCATAAATCTGTACTTTCCTTTTGTGGATAATTGATGCATTCTCAAAATAAGAAAAATGAAGGATTACCTTTTAACCATATACTAATGTTTCTCACTTTTATACCCAATAGACAGAATGTGCAAATTTCATCCGAGTACTGCAACCTTATAATAAGACCCACGTTTATGTGTGTGGAACCGGAGCATTTCATCCACTATGTGGATATATTGATCTTGGAGTCAACAAGGAGGTAATGAAACAGTAGAAAATATAATTTACTATAATGCCTATCCAACAGATTATACAAATTTGAGTAAGCATAACTTATGAGATATATAAGAATTCATGTTTCTAAACATTTTTTTTTTGGTTTTTCAAAACAGGGTTTCTCTGTGTAGCTTTGTGCCTTTCCTGGGACTCACTTGGTAGCCCAGGCTGGCCTTGAACTCACAGAGATCTGCCTGGCTCTGCCTCCCGAGTGCTGGGGTTAAAGGCGTGCGCCACCACCGCCCAGCTTCTAATCATTTTATAAAGTATACATTAATACATTTTACTCATCTAATAAGTGTTTTCTATTAAACCTGCTTCAATAAGAGAAGTAAAATTTACAATATAAACTATTACAAGCAATTGGTTTTATTGACTCTACATGCACCTGCACTTTCCATTTTAATATTTGTATACACATATTTACATATATGTTTATAAATTGCAAAGCTGTGAAAATGCATTTTACATATATGATCTTATAGTGGAATTACATTTTATAAATAATTTCATTTTGTTCTTAATATATGTGTTAATTGAAATATGTATTAACAACAGTGGACTGTAAGTAAATAGAATGTCAGTAGTTTTCTTGACTCTATGTAGACTTTCACTCACACTGAAATCATTGGGTTTTCTGAACTAAACTAATGGGATGGAAATAAAGGATATATTAATTAAAATAAATTTGTTTCAAATATCATTGAGCATTTCTAACAAATGAGAAACATGCAGATTTCAGAATTTTAACTAAAATGATTTTTTTCAAGTACTCTGTGTCATAGATTGTCATGAACATTGCATGCATTTTTTTTCTGCACTAGAAATTCACAAACATGAGGTTAGTGCCATTGTGTTCCCTAATATATATGTTAGTAAACATGGTTTCTTGTTGGTCTATCATAAACAGTCCAGCAGTGAGCTGAACCAAAGCAGTGTCTGCCCAAAGCCAGCACCCCCAGCTGAGCTTCAGCCACGTACTCTATACTGTTTCTCTGTGGGCACCTCCCTCATGTTTATGCATGTATTTCCTGTGGATAACCATGCATATGTGCAGTCTTTGTGCTCGAGAGCCAAGTCTGGGCTTATGAAGGGTTTCTTTATGTTAATTTAATGGATGCATGCCAAGATCAAACCTGCAACTGTGGCCAGACAGATTTTCCTCTCTAACCGACTCATCTAACTAGCCTTGACTCAACTGCTTGAAAGTAAAGCAGCCCTGATGGTTCAGTTCGGAACTACTCAGAGATTTGGCAACTGAATCCATCATCATTCTTTGTTGCTGGTGTAATGCTCTCCCGCCTGCCTTTGAGGAAGGACAATATATAACGGTAGCACAGGGGATAGTTACATGAGCACCCCACTGCTTGGGTGTGTACTTAGGCCTGAGACTAAAGGCTGAACTCTGAAGCTGCCCAGGGAAGCTAACAGTGTCTCTAACTCTTAAAGTCAAGCTCCCTGAAAGGGAATTTAGATATAGCTAATTACTTAGCTTGGGACTTGTCATTAAGGGCTGGGCAGTCCAATTTGCCAATTTTCAGAATAAGAGAATTATGAGAGTAGAGGGATGCTGAGACTTGGCACTTTGAGCTGATCTGGAGAGCAGACAACCTGCTTCATTATCGCTCACTAATTTTATGTTTCATTAATTTCAAGACATTTTATTTCTAGAAGATTACAGATCCTTTCCATTTCAAATAGATAAACTTACTTGGAAAGAGAAGGAGAAGAGGGAACAGTATACGCAAAGGGTTGGAGGAAGCCACCCACTGGGGGCAGCCAGTCAGATTTTTTGGCACAATGAGAGGAATATAGAAGGAACATAACATGACCCCCAGGGAGTAGGCAGAGAATTGGAAGGTGGCACTATTTAGTGGGATAATAACAGTGATGAGCTTGTGGGGAAAGTGGTGAGTTAATAATTGCACGTATTGCTTTTAATCATGGTAATCCAAGAGGGTGACTGGATCTTAACTCAGAAGGGAAGTCAAGGCAACTGTCAACAGCTTCAACAAGTAGTTTCCAGAGTCAAATTTGACTCTTTACCAGCTCCATGACTTTGTGCATATAATATAAACTTTCTAAGCTTGTTTTTATTTAGTAACGTGATAACAAGAAGAGCAAATACATATAGAGTTATTTTAAGTATCAAATAAAACAGTTATTGACAACATGATCCCCACACATATGTTCTCACAGAGACTGGGGCAGCCCACGGATCTGCATCAGCTAAAGTCCTGGAGCTAAAAGGGGAAGTGGACACTTGCCTCTATCCCTAACCCAGAAGCTATCTCCAGTTGAATAACCACTTGCAAATGAAAATTTAGTTTACTCCAAGGGAGTTTCATTGGGAAAACAAACTACTCTTAAGGGTACATCCCATGCCCAGCAGTAGAAGGCTAACAGAAAATGAACTCAAAGGCATCTTTGGAGGTTCCTTATCTCATATTGTCATGTCAGGGCTTTTCTTAAAAAAAGTGATATTATTCTTATTTTTATATAATTTTTATATATGCATATATGCAATTTATAAAATAGCATGTATCTCTATAAGTATATCATAATATATAGTACATAAAATCTTATTGATGTTCTATAACATTGAGAATGTTTTCATGACTATCTATTAACTGCATTTGCCGAGCATGGAGGTGCGCACCTCTAATTCCAGTAGTTGGGAGGTAGAGGTGGGAAGGTCAGAGAGCATCAAAGATAGTCAGGATTGCATCTGCAGCTCCAGGTCAGCCTGGGCTAGATGAGATCAGCTTCAAGTTTAAAACACAGAAGAAAGAAAGAAAAAGAATTAAAAGTAGGGCTTGCCCCTCTAGGGCTAAGCAGCTCATCTTCAAATGGGGTGTGTGCTGATAGTCAGTGTGTTTTATAGGGTAATTAATTAGTCTTTTCCTGTGAGCCTCTTATCTGTTTACTTCCCTAACAGTGTTTTTTTTTCTTAATGTTTTATTACATTTCAGTGTGTGTGTGTGTGTGTGTGTGTGTGTGTGTGTGTGTGTGTGTGTGCAGGCCATTTACATGCTTTGGAGCATGTGTAGAGGGCAAAGATCAACTTTAGGGGAAAGGGCTGTGTCTTTCCATTATGTGGGTCCTGAGGACTCTTGTCAGGCTTTGCAACACTTGTGACATTGAGCCATCTTAACTGCAGAGTCATCTTCCAGCATCTAACAATATTTCTATCTTCCAGCATCTAACAATATTTCTATATGTGCAGTCCAAGAGGTGCATTTTGGTAACTAAATTAAAGGGATTGTGCAAAGCATATCCTACAACATGGCCATTTAGAAACTTAGAGTCTCGTGCAAACTATGTTGTCTTGGGAAAAGCATTAAACCATCAGTTAGTTTCATTTTCTTTCCCTGGAGCTAATTTGGAAAGACTTGCTCTCTTGTGTCCTTCTCCAAGAGATGTCAGGAAAGTTCTTGTCCTCAGCTCCCACAAATACAAAGACGAGCTGCTCTTTGCAATTTAATAGTGTTGCATTTAAAAACAAAGGTCTGTGCAACCGTCAGTTTATCTAGTACTATGGCATTCTCCTAGATGATCAGAGTTCGATTTCCCTTACCAATGTCCCATTTGATGCCTTAGAGTCAGCAAGTCTGTTTAGCCAGTGGAAAAGAGTGTGCTTTTAATGGTTAGTAGACATTTGGGATGGCCACTATCTACAGCCCCCCCCCTCTCCTCCACCCCAGTCACTCCCCAGTCACAGTTGGGAAGCATAAGTGCATTCTTATTGGAGCTTTTTTCTATATCTAAGGTCCACTATAATTCTTCCTTAGGTGACCTCAAGTAAAGGCTGTTGGGTCTGATCATGTCCCATGAACACATTGAGACTATATATCTACAAATGTTTAAATCCGTGAGTTTGAAATTCTGAGACTGTATAAGTTCCTAGCCATAGCTGTATGACACTGAGCCAAGTCCACAGCCCTTCTGCCCTGACAGTTCCACGTGAAAAGCTGGACTTATTGTTAATGTAGTTACACTGAAGATTTGGGGTGAGAATTCAGTAGACGGTGTGAGCAAGTGCCTATATCTTTATTCATACCCCTTTCAACTATTAGGCATCATTATTTGCATTAAACATGTCTGTTTTAATTTATGGAATAACAATTTCTAACCAGCCTCATTTAAATTGCTGCTACTACTTTTTAGTGAGACAGTAGTTACTATTAGTGTTGTTCAAAAGAAGAGGAAAAGATCTCAAAAAAAGATGACAACATAACTCAGGAATTAACCTGGTGTCCTCTGTCCCTTCTGCTTCATGGCCTGCTTTCTATATAATAGCAGTGTGTGGTTCTTTCTTGATGTAAGAGTGACCTGCTGTAACAGGATATGCTGTGCAGAATGCTTGCAGTGTGGGTTTCTCCTCGGACGACACTGGCTGCGTCATCTCCCTAGCTGCTGGAAGGTGCTGTGGTCATTGTTATGAGACACTGGGGATCGTGGGGCTGCGTTCATTATGCATGCATATTTTTCTTGGAAAGTTCTACATAAGATGATTTTCCTCTGAATATCAAACGTCTGCCAATGTCATTCTGTCTGTGGCCACTATTATAAAAGTAGATGCTTCTGCCAAAATAACTATGTGTCTTTCGTGCGCAGTGTTTTCATAATAGTGAAAATATTACAAGAGGATTTTTTCCCCACATGTGTCAACATCCCTGAAAAGGAACTGCCTATTTGAAGACACTTGTATGTCATTAAGCATTTTTAAAAGTCACCAGTCTTAGATAATTTGGTATAATAGAAAATGCTTAGTCACACAAATAATAATTATCATGCTGAAATGCAAATATTACATAACAAAATTTTGGGGGTTTTGTTTTATTTTGTTTTTGACACCGAGTATTACAAAATTCTTTGAGTATCAAAAAATGGTCCAGATCTCCTGATTTTCCTGCCTCGACTTCCCAGGTATCAGACTCACAGGTGTGAACCATCATGCCAGAAAGCAAATTTATTTCTTAGAAGTTAATTCGGAGGCTGGGAAGTGACTAATTGGGCAAACACTATCGCTGTACAAGTGTGAAGAGCAGTGTTCAGATCTCCAGGATCCACAGACACCCACACAAAGCTCTGTAATCTCAGTGCTTCCTGCTGTGAGGTCAGAAGTGGAGACTCAGAAGCTCATGGCCCACACTCTGTCTCAAACAAGGTGGAAGGAAGGATTGACACCTGAGATTGTCTTCTGACCTTTACACACACACACACACACACACACACACACACACACACACACACACACACACACACACACACACACATACACACACACACACACACGGTGTGAGGGGGTGTTAAATAGTGGGAGAAGTTCCGGTTTTATTAGCCTAAGTAACTTATTAAACTTGTGCTAAGAGTGTGACTCAGCGGGTAACATGTTTCTTGTGTGAAGATCTAAACTCAGGTCCCTACAAACTGCTTGATGCACAAATGCTGCACTCGTACACGTCTGTAACCTCCGCACTGATAGTATGGAGACATGTGGTCCCTGAGCTTGCTGGCCAGACATGCCAGCCAAATTTGTGAGCTGGGGTTCAATGGGAAACCCTGTCCCCAAAAAATAAGGTAGAACACAACTAAGGAAGTCACCTGACATAATGTCTGACCTCCACATTTATGATCACACAAGTGTGCAAGCACCCGCATGAATATGTGCACACACATGCTAAAATAAACACACACATACACAATGTACACAAGATAAAAAGGTAATATTTGAAAATACTGGTATTTCGTGTTGTATTTCTACTGGCAGTGGTCGAGACAAAATGCATTTTGAGTAAAGTGTTACTTCAAGTTGAACATTTGTGGAACCTCTTTGCAGGAAGGACCTCAGTGTGGAGTCTTGCAAGATGCAATGGTACCTAAAGGGTTAAGTTCCAGCACGATGATGCGTGCGCTGTGTGCTCAGTTCATTTTTGTCGAGTTAATGAATGGGAACCAATTCTTATCTGCTCTGTTCTTGCTGACTGTGATACATTTAAAAAACGTCATTGTGTTTCTTACCACAGGAACTCATATTTAAACTAGACATGCACAGCTTGGAGTCTGGCAGACTGAAATGTCCCTTTGATCCCCAGCAGCCTTTTGCTTCAGTAATGACAGGTAAGATCAGTGCAAACAAGTCTTCTGTCTGAATGACTTTCTGAAAAGGCCTGTGTAGACTAACGCACATTTTCTGACTGAAGTGAAGATAATTTTGGATTAGCCCTTCCCCACATGTTGGTGCCAGTCTCTGTATGAGCATCATCATCCATGAAGTGAAGGCGGAGGCAGCATTCCTTCATGTCTGCACAGAGGCTTTCTAAACAAACGTCTGACTGAACTCTCGCTAATGCAAATATCATACTTCTTTGTTCAAAAAAAACTTTTACTCACCTGGTATTTTTCTAATACTCAGCTTTTACCTTTCTTTACTCAGGAAGGGTGTCTCATATAGCAATTCTTAAGTAGGTAAATGAATAAACAATGAATAAAGGTATAAAATACAGTTATATAATGTATAAGCATCTTTTCTCCCATATTTCCATTAATGGAAATGTGATGGGTTTGTCTTTTTCTTGCTTTCTTTTTTATTTTTTGTTTGCTCACACGTGTAGCCCTTTTTATTGGCTTTATATTTGCCTGTATCTTAAATTCTCATAGAAAAGACTGCCTGGTTGAAAGAAGATAGTGCTGTATTGTCTAATTTGTGCTCTGAAGACCATCAGCAGGATCCCTGAATCTTAAACATTATAAATAAGCCTTTCTCTGGATGGTTCATGATTTTAGTCTCTTCTTATTTAATTCATCTATCAAATGTTTAAGTGGATGGTAAGAGTGATGTACCATGACATTTTAATATCCACATGGTGGGAATTAGGAATTTTGCTTTGAAGTGAGTGTCTGTTTTGAAATTATACAACCCTTGTTCATTTCTTCTCAGTAGATGCCATAGATGATTTTCGTCTGTTAAGCAGTATTGATGCATCCTTAATAAAAAACAAAAACAAAAACAAAAACAAACAAACAAAAAAACACATTGTGGATGTGGATGACCCCTCTTAGGAATCCCTGCATAACTCTAAAAATAAACATGACAGTTTTGAAATGTGGATATTCATATCAAAATTATGGCTAAATCACACTTTGTCTGACAAAATACTGACATGCTTGCAGTATAATATATTTCAAATGATACATTGCTTCCTTTTCTCTTAGGTTCCTCATAAGCTTTTCATTGACATTATCGTTTGTTCCTCTATGTCTTAAAATTTTTAATTCACAACAAAAAATTGGCATTTATCTGGTATGCACGAGAAGTGTCTTTCAATGGTGGAGATGGCATGCTACCTGCCCCAACCTTGTCACTGGGTTTCGCTTGAGTTTTGTTTCCTGTAGTCACTGTCACTAGCCACTGACATTGAGGCTGAATCATTCCAAGAGGGCCAATGAATTGCTATTATACATAGCAGAGGACTTAGAAAGTCTCTCCACCATGTCACATTCAGAGAGAATTTGAAGACTAACGCTTCCAAAAACAAGTTACATTTCAGTGACGATCTTGTTTTTGTCCATGATACAGTTATGTAAGAAACTGAAAAGACCTATGCAGATTAGCCATTTTTACTGTATGTTTTTGGGTGTAACCCAAAGAAGTTTCCTGTCAAAGTCTCTTGAAATAGCAGAGTCTGAGCTCTCAAAAGCACAACATATCACACTACAGGGAGAGCCTCCTTCCTGCCTGCTCCCCAGTGCTCGGACAAGCAGTGCAAACAGAGGACATTGATCCCTGAACCCGCTCACACTTGCCCCTCCTTATCTCTTTCCCTTGGTTCTTGCTCTTTCTTCTTCCACCCCTGTTTCTGTGCTTCCTCTCTCTCTCTGCTCCTCCTCACCTTCTGCAGCTTCTCCCCGATTCCACCTCCCACTCTCTCCTTTCTCCTCTGCCCTCTCTTCCTCTCCTCTCTATTATCCCTGCTTCTCTCCTTGATGAAACATACACTTCATTTAATATAGAATCCGGAGTTTAGGATGCAGCAAGAGCACAATCTTCCCTTTGTTTATCGGAGCTTTAGAGACATGGTCATCTCAAGGAATGCAACATGTTATAATTACAAGGAATGACCTCAGCGTTGAAAACTCCCTTTCAGCAGGGGCTGGACAAAGAAAAACTGTGGTCCCTGAGGTTGCATCAGTGAAGTAAATAATAATTAGGGCATCTGTTCTCATTTGGACATTGAATCTCTAACACTGTGAGAGTTGCTACAAAATCAAACTCCTAATTATGATGTTTCTCTGCTTATTGTAGATAAATGTTAAAGGGTATATCCAAAGAGGAGTCAGTTCATGCCACCTCTGTTAAATCAGAAGCTCTCGGCCTTTGTGAAGATTCAGTTTTCTAGGCTCTGCTTATCAGTTAACCGAGTTACTTCTCCACCTAAGCTAATTCTTCAAAATCTGAGAACTATGTGATGCACATGCTCTGGTGTTAAGTGCTCACACTGGGTGTCGTGTGGACCGGACCGCTACTTCCATCATCTCAGCAGTCCCGTTTGCTTTGCTCCTTGCAGATGAGTACCTCTACTCTGGAACAGCTTCTGATTTCCTTGGCAAAGACACTGCATTCACGAGGTCCCTTGGGCTGACACAGGACCACCATTACATCAGAACTGACATTTCAGAACACTACTGGCTCAATGGTTAGTGATGTTTCTCTTCTGTTTGTTTTGATTTTGCTTTTGGAAAAGCAAGGAGTTCATTATTATGCACTCAGATGGGTTTGGGGAAAGCTAATTTCATTCAGCATTTAAAAATACATTTGAAATGTATCAAATTAGACAAATCTTTATTTTATTTGGTGTGTGTGTGTGTGTGTGTGTGTGTGTGTGTGTGTGTGTGTGTGTATATCTGATATTTACTGTGTCCTATATCCTTGGCACTCCTTGTGCTATAATAAATGTGTTATTTTTCAAGGTTCACAATGACATTTGAGACATTATCACTTTAACACTTGATTTTTAAGGACGAGTAAAGTGTAGATGTGAAAAGTTGAATGAGTTGATCACAGTCTCACAATCTCTCAGCAGCAGAGCTGGGCTTTATGCTGGCAACCTGGATTCTGTGTTTGAATTACCAAGCTTATTTCTCAATAGAAAGGACATAGATAGCAATGCTAACTTCTTTGTTGTATTTTAATTTCCACATAAAATTATATATGTTTTAATAATTGTATACACTATGTATAGATCAGAGTAATTAGCACTTTCCATTTCTTATCATGTTCTAGCATAGATAAGTTTAATGCTCAATTCTGCAGCTAAAATTTATGTTTGGTTTTAAAGAGAAACAGCACTCCAAGATTTTAAAATATTAATAATGATATTGGTTTGTCTAATTATTATTTTTTAAATATTATATGGTATTTGTGGTTTTAAATGCTGGAAAAAAAATCCCAAAAAAATTTATGTGGCTACTTCAAGGACTAATACAAGACAATTTCACCCACTGTCTTGCTTTTATTCCATTTGCTGGGAAGAAAAAACCCTCAATTTTATTTAAACAATCAGGTCACGTTTACTATTCTCACCAAAATTAGTGAGTTTAGCAGAGCAGGCCAAGCCAGAGATTTCCTACGGGCTATCTTCCTATCTCTGAGTGACTTTTGAATAGTGACTATATAAACACAAGGAGAGACACTTTTAAAACATTCCTTTGGTCAAAACCTGTAAATCAGTTTGTTTACACAGTAAAGTGATTTCCAAAGTGGCCAAAAAGAAAAATCCCCTAAAAGTTAATGGGTTTTGGAATTACTTGATTTGAGAGCAACTTCGTAGATTGCCCCTTTGACACTTGCTTAGATAAATATTCTTGGGGTTTTAAAATAAAGCATAAAATTGCATCTTTCTATTTAGGAATGGCAAATGTCCTCAAATGGAGAGTCTGTTAGGAGATAATCTAGTCATTCTTGATCATGACATGTCCATAAAGAAGTCTATTTGTGCAATTTTTATTTGCCTAGAATGCTATTATTGTTATTACTATTTGAATAGGATTACACAATTGGACACCTATCAAATGGCCTGGCATTTCCCTAATAAACAACTCCCAAGCCTTTTGCATATGGAGTGCTACTCCACCCAATGCACCTACTTAGACAGGCAGAGGAAGGTGGTTGAACCCAGGGACGAGGAAGGTGTGCTGAGCATGGAGTGTCGGCATAGTGAACAAGGAGGCTGAAAACATTTTCATGTTTTCAAGGAAAGTTATTGATGATTTTACTTTTTAATAAGGAAAAGTGTGCGTGTGTCTAAAAGACAATGGTGTGGATAGGAGGAACAGTCCTTTAAGAGAATGAATACACCTATGAGTGAATACATACCATGTTTGTCTTTCTGAGTCTGGGTTACCTCACTCAGGATGATTTTTTCTAGATCCGTCCATTTGCCTGCAAACCCCATGATGTCATTGTTTATCTCTGCTGAGTAGTATTCCATTGTGTATATGTACCACATTTTAATTATCCATTCTTCAGTTGAAGGACATCTAGGTTGTTTCCAGGTTCTGGCTATTACAAACAATGCTGAGGGTTTATATGAGCTTGAAAGTTGTTTATTAGGGAAATGCCAGGCCATTTGATAGGTGTCCCATATGAACATAGCTGAGCAAGTGCCCTTGTGGTTTGATTGATCATTCCTTGGGTATATGCCCAAGAGTGGAATAGCTGGATCTTGGGGTAGATTGATTCCCAATTTTCTAAGAAAGTGCCATATTGATGTGGAACAAGGATGACTGGAATGCTACTCACAT